GCCCCCGTCTGTGGTCTCCCAGGTGCTGTCCAGAGTTGCGCCCTCAGGTGTTGTTGATGAAGACGGGTCTGCAGCAGGAGCCCGGGGTGGTGACTGGGCAGCCCTGCTCTGGGCCCTGGGCTGGTGGGACTGGCGGCTGGATCCTCACGGCCCGTTGGGGTTCTCTTCGCAGGAGGGCGAGACGAAGATCGAGTACAGGGCATGGAACCCCTTCCGCTCGAAGCTGGCGGCCGCCATCCTGGGAGGCGTGGACCAGATTCACATCCGACCCGGGGCCAAAGTCATGTACCTGGGCGCGGCCTCGGGCACCACCGTCTCCCACGTCTCGGACATCGTCGGGCCGGTCAGTGACGCCACATACTGGCTTATCTTGGCCACAGGAGTGCTTACAAATGAGAGTGGCCCACTTAACTGTTTCAGCCTATCCAGCTAGCCAGCAGTCTAGCTCCGCAAGATGGCTGGGCAGGGCGTTCCATGCTCCCACAAGCCTTTGTGTAAAGGAGTGGTATTTAACCCTCTTCGTTTGTCATCTGCAACCTTGACTTGTATGCTAACTGTATGAGGAACAAGACAATTGATGTGAACCAGGCAGAGCAGTGTTCCTCATTCTGTGGCACTCCACAGATGACCTTATCCCCAGTCCGAGCATTTGCATCTTCCCCGTTCCTGAATAAAGCTTGACGCCTTCGCAGTATTCCTTTGTTCTCTTCCCTTTCTAATATGGTTTGTAACCTGTGCTTACAGCTCATCGTACTGATTTTCTTTTAAGTGGGCGTTCTTTTGTTGCATGCCTATTCTGAGTAGTCTTCAGTTTTTTTGGGGGAAAGGAAGTGTAAAGTCTTACACCTGGCAACAGAAGTGAAGGAGTGGGGCTGTTGTTTTAAGCCTCTCACCCACCGTCTCTGGGGCACCCCCTTGAATAAATACCCCCACTCCCCTTTGCGCAGGAGGGGCTGGTCTACGCTGTGGAGTTCTCTCACCGCTCCGGAAGAGACCTGCTCAGCGTGGCCAAGAAGAGGACCAACATCATCCCCATCATCGAGGACGCCCGCCACCCACACAAGTACAGGATGCTCGTGGGTAAGAGACGCTCAGGGTGACGGTCTTCATCTCTAGTCTCGCGTCGCACGGCGTGTAGCTTAGAGGTGGCCCCGGGCCCTTCCTGACCCCCTGTGGTCTCTCCCCCCGTGAGCAGGCATGGTGGACGTGATCTTCGCCGACGTGGCCCAGCCTGATCAGACGCGTATCGTGGCCCTGAACGCGCACAACTTCCTGAAGAACGGCGGCCACTTCGTCATCTCCATCAAGGTGCTTCATCGGCGTGGGCTTGTGGGAAGGGGCGGGAGGATAAACTCCGATAAAAAAACGGGTGATCCTAGGGGACGGGGATCCAAAGGCTAGGCAGGTGGGGTTGTGACGTGCACCTGCCAGCTGGATGCAGAACGAATCACTGGGAGGAGCAGTCCGCTCCATACAAATGCCGGGACTTCCAGGGAAGGCGTTATGGACCTGCTTCCTTCTTAATTGTATAGTTCGGTGTTCAAGAGAGGGGGGCGGGCTGTTACTCCGATAGAGCCACAGGTGGAGTGGGCAGCTGGCGGTGCTGCTGTTCTCTCTCAACGCCAGCACGCTCGACTGCGGGCGTGCCCTAGCTATCGTCGCTGCAGAAGGGTCACAGGTTCGAGTTGTGAGCCCCTTGGACTACATGCAAGAGGGCTGTGCCCTGGGGTGGGTCCTTCCTCTTTGTTTCTGCGACGCGGGGACTGGTGGCAGGGCGCCGTCACATCCTCGGTGCGTTCTCCCTCCTCCCCCGCAGGCGAACTGCATCGACTCCACGGCGGCGCCGGAGGCCGTCTTCGCCTCGGAGGTGAAGAAGATGACCCAGGAGAACATGAAGCCGCAGGAGCAGCTGACGCTGGAGCCGTACGAGAGGGACCACGCCGTCGTCGTGGGCGTCTACAGGTGGGCTGCGCTCGCGGCCGCTTTGCGATCCGTTCAGAGCTGTATCGTTACTGACATCCGGTTCCGTCTCTCTTTTTGTTTTTTCAGACCACCCCCAAAGCAGAAGAAGTAAGCTTGTGCTGGAGTGGGACTCTCAGCTGGCACGAGGCACTGGCACCTCCCCTCCCTCCTTCTCCACCACCGTAAAAACAGCTGCCGGCGTAGCCTCTCAGGCGGGGTTGGCAGCAGTGACAGCGCCTCTCACTGGCCACGGAGTGAACTGCGCTGTCTGCCCCTTCCCTGACCTCCCTGCTTGTTCAGTTGCTTCCCGTCTGTTCCGAAAGGGGAGAAGGCGCCCGAACTCGTGAACTGTTTTGATCCGGACTGGTGGCGGGGCGGAGGAACCCTGGATTTGGGTTCTGGTTGTGAATGTTTCGCCGGAAGACGTGCCTGGAAACGTTACCCCCCAGAATCTTTCTTCCACCCCACCCCCTTTCCCCCACCACACCTCTTTCTTTTTGTTTGCAGTTTTGTACGCAGATGAATTACATCTATGGAAAAGTGCGAAAGTGTCATTTTGGGTTTTTTTCTTGACAAGTAGTCGCATGCTGGGTGATGCTGTGGAGCGTCTGCTCAGGCGGTGGGCAACCTATGTCCTGTGTTGTGTATGTTTTGTGAATGGCGTGTTGTACCCGTCTCACAGTGGTTTCAGGGGCAGGGAACTGGGACTGTGTGGGGGTTTTAAAAGTGCCTCCTGCTCTGCTACTGCTGTGACTTGGCTGGTTAAGACGTCATCACAAAGCTGTAACAATATTGCTTTTTTTATTAAAATGACTGAAATAAGCATTTTGATGTTGGTTATTGGCGGGGGGGGGCTTCGGTGTCTTTTATTACTTTATCCTGACTGTCTTTCAACAGGTTTCGAGTAGACTGACTCTTCTGAATTACCGGTTGTACATCAGTGAAACTTTTAATTGTGCATCACTGCCACTAGCTAGTCTGCTCTTGGCCTGTCAAAGCCAAGAGTGCACAAAAGAAACCTGACAAACATGACAGTGTCTGTGCCAGTTGTGTTTAAAAAAAAAAAGACCAATTCAAACTCCCTGTAGACGACCTTCAAAAATTGAACAGAAAGGCAGTAGTAGTGGGACATCAGCAGCAGTGGACAAATGTAGGAGAGGTGTGGAGACAGTTGGAGGTCATTGGTTTGTTCTGTGAATTAAAGTAGAAAAATCTACCTCTGCAAGTGATCTAGACAATGAAACATGTCAGTGCTGATCCATAGAACCTCCTAGGAGTCTGGGGCTGTGGATTCAGTCTTACCAGAAATGTTAAGAAATTGAATGCTATAATTTAAGAATTAATTGATCTGAGGAAAGGATGCATTTTAGGAATTGTACATTGACCCTTTACACAACCTTCTCGATAAGCCAACACTGCATCTGTTATTAGGAGAACAGCCCTATTGAGGGCTACTATTAACCTGAAACACAGGAAAACAATAATTCAAGAAGATAACAGAGCTATACACAAAAGAACCAAAGATATTCATATGCTTTAGAGCAATTAAGGCAGTAGGACATAATACAGTTGGAAGAAAAGAACAACCAAAGGAGTTCTTCCCACTTTTATTCATCTGTTACCATTACCATTACGAGGGGAGTGGAGGCAGGAGAGTCACAAGGGCCAGGCTGGAGCCTTCATTCAGGCACCTGGGGAGGAAGAAGGAGAACAATCCAGCTG